CATGCTTCAGCCCAAGCCCCAGGCCAAAGGCAGATCCTCAGGGCTTTTGCCCTCGGGGATTTTTTCGGTTGGCCTTGGGGGACAAGAGGCGCCACCTCAAAAGGTGGCATTGATGGTTGTCATAGCAACTTCAGAACCATAAGGACAATGCTGGACATGCCCCAGGATGCAAAAGTTCCACCAGGGGAACCCCAGCAAGCAGAGTTTGCCGGTTGACCCAAAAGAGAAGTCACACTTACGTTCTGCAAAGTTACGTCGAGCCAAGAAAGGAGCTCCCCCAAGAAGGTTCCAGGTTCATCCGCAGGTTGCATGCGAAACGCCCTGGCAAAGACGCCCTTCCATGCACCTACATGCTCAGGCCATGTTTCTATACATCCCCCAAGCATAGGTAGTGTTTGCATATGCATAGGTGTACCTATGTTGATGTATGTCCTCCCGCTCCCATCTCCGCCTGTGAATATTGGCAGGGCGAGGATCTATCGCAAGGGGGAGCCCAAGAAGATTCCCTATTGTGAGGAAAGCTGGGCTCTAAGTCCGGGTAGGGTGGTGGTGGTGGTGGTGGTGGTGGTGGTGGTGGTGGTGGTGGTGGTGGTGGTGGTGGTGGTGGTGGTGGTGGTGGTGGTGGTGGTGGTGGTGGTAAAAATGTCAATTGTGACTACCCTTTCGGCTTCCGCTGGCGGATGTTGACACATATTACTCAACCGCAACCAAAAGAACTGCTGGAGGCACCACAGGGGAAACACGCGCTGGACATTTGTGGTCAAGTCTTTCGCCTTTTGGGTGCTGCATGTTGAGCTGGACAACTACCCCATGACCACCTTTCCTTGAAGCCAGCCCCCCAGAAGGAGGGTTCTACACTTTTATGGGCGGGCTTTCTTTTCAGCCGCAAAAGGTGACATGATCCAGAAGCGCCCCATTCCCAAGAGTGGCAACTATGACTGAACTTGTTGCATGGCATTTGAGCAACATCTCCACTCTGAAACTGCTACCCCACCTGCGAGCCTCGACATGACTCTGGCTGTCGGCTTTTCGAGGTCCCGGAACCTGCCTGACCAGGACACCTAAAAGCATCATTTTCAAAACCTGTAAAATTAATTCTAACGATTTGAGTAGTGATAAACTCGATGCCAACTACAAACTGCCCAAACACATGTGAACTCTCCCAATAAGGAACTACCAAAAGGGGATGGACACTGGAAAAAGGGCACGGTTCGATCCAAACAGAAAGCTGCTGGGGCCGGCGGCGCTCCGTGGCTATCTCCTTGTCGCTCTCCCTGACCTGGCAAGAAGGAACAGGGAAACACTTAGCCGAGTTCTGACCTAAAACTTGCTTCGCAAAAAAACAAAGCAAAACAAAACGGGCCCCGTGGAAAAACCGCGTGTTGGAAGCCTAAACACATGGATAAAACTGGACGGTCAACTGGTCAGAAGGCCGTTGAAGTGCGCCACAGTCACTCATCGGCTTTTTCAGTGGTGGTTTTCTGGATCGACCATCCGCTCCTGAACGAAAAATGGGCAAGTCAAGACCAAAAGGTCGATTCGCTTTGGGGTGCCTGAGTTTGGGCAACTGAGCGGTGACCAACACCCAGTGACTTTTGGTTCTGCTAAGATGGTCCTGAATGGTTTATACAGCCAACGTGACACCAACTATGTGGTACCCCCCGCCGGCTTTCACAAGCATTCTGGAAAAACCAACAACCTAGCATGGAACCAATTGGAAGCAGAAAGCAGGCGAGCATCAGCAGCACACAAACAAACTGTACAAAAGGCGTGGCTGGAGTTTGCTGCCACGACCCAGGAGCGTGTTCCGGAGATATTGTCTGCTTGCACCAATCTACGCTGTTCCCCTTTTCCCTGCGCTTGGAAAAGCTCGTTTATTTTTATTTTGTTTTTTTATTTTTATTTTTTCGGAAAATAAGTTATCCAAATGTACGGAGTGCCCCTGAGGAATCGGCCGGGAAGAGGGCAGTCGGGATCGGATCCCTTTGACTCGCAAAGATTCCGAGATCGTGCTTTCAACATGGCGGAACATACCCCTTGTGATACCAAAGTGGCCATGCCATTCCCTTGCCCGCTTCACTTGCGGGAAAATCCTGTGGCTCACGGAAATTGTCAAACTGCAACACATGTTGCACAACCTATGAATCATACAATTCCAAAACCGGATTCCAATGGGATGCCCAACGGCCTACATCATAAGGGACCTCCTTTTGCCTCGGAATCGCTACCATGGCCGAGGGGGGTGTCCCATGCTCCGCTCGCTATTGCGTGCCGCGCCTTGTCCGGATGGCAGGTCAAGGCGATCTTCCTGTCGATGTCTCCCATGGCAGGGCCAGGAGCCAAGCGGGAGTGTGTAACATACTCTCAGTTGCCCCTTTGGGACCCAGAAACCAGACCCTTTCAGTCCAAGGGTGGCTTTTCCATTTGTACCTGAAGTGCCCCCTTGTCTGGGCCATGTTGGGTGCCAATTAACTGCCCCAAGGGAAGGTTCAGAAGCAAAAGGTTCACCTTTTGGAACCTTGACTAAAACTGGTTGCCAAATCCAGGAAACTAAAAGATCAAAAGGTCGGCTTTGGGTAAGTGAGTAGATAGATGGGCTTCGTTTTTCCCTTAACCCCCACGGAGCAAACAAGAGTGCTGTCAAAGAAGGTCTGTAGTGTATGGACGGTTTGGGAGTCTGGCCTCAGAAAAAGCAACAGGGACACTTGCTGGGGGGGAGGGATGGAGTAAGGGTTTTTCCCTTACGCATGCAGCTCTTGAGGGTTTGCCCCTTTCTTCCTAGGGCCGTTGTGAAACTTGGACCGGCCGATTCCCGCAATCAAAGAGACCCGTGATCTTTTTCATGGGGCCAAACCTGGCCCAACACTTTGTCGACCACCCAAAAAAGGCAGAGCAGTTGTTGGCTTTCACCGGACATCTGACTCCCTACCAGGGCGACCGTCTCGTCGCAAAGGCTCAGCTCATGCCAGCGCCGTCTTTCGGGGTGAGACCAATATTTTTGGTTGAGGCGTGGTTTAAAAGAATGGGACCCACTCTTGTGTCTTTTTGGGGGGAGGGTCCCCTGTTTAAGAAGAAGAAAGTCCCAATTCTGAAATCCACTAGGCTGAGCAAGGGAACTGAGAAAATCTGGAGACTGCCCCCTACCTCTTCAGTTGCTTTCCGGATTTTCTAGATTTCCCCTTTGAGCAACTCTCATTGGGCCAAATTTGCCGGTCTCCCTTTGGATCCAGTGATGCAAGCAACCCTCACGGCGTTCATTGCTTTGCCTCGTGAGGAAGTGGATAATTTAATCGACTCCTCTTTCGAACCAATGAAAAAATCCATGGCCCAAGTAGTTCCGTGTTCCTCTTGGAGCAACGCTCCTGCAAACATGGAAGCCCAAAACCACCTGGGGGATGCACTCCAGTTGTCAACCAAGGCTTCGTAAGGACACTTGTCAACTTCAAGGCTTCTCATTGGGCCGTCCTGAAGCACCGCTTGATCTCATCCTGGGTGGCATCCTGGTTTGCGCCCAAGACATCGTAGAAGTCGTGCTGGCGCCATCGCGCGAGCCGACTCGCCATGGGCAAATCGTGCTCGGCAAGCGAGCTGCGGTATTGGCGGGCAATTCCTGGGAGCGGTTGGCCCAAAGGTGTTCAAACGGGTATCTCCACCTAAACTACTTGTAAATAACCTCCTGAATCTCATGCTTCTGCCAAGAAAAACCACCGAAGACTTGCCCCCTGAATGTTGACACCTAAACGCTAAAACGCCCGCTGTGATTGCAAGACGTGTCGGGTCAATATACTCAATTCACACTAAACAAATCGACGTAGGACAACCGGCATAGATTCAATCCCAAGGAGGAGTCCTGAACAATCCAGAGAAGGTTCCCGTCTCACAATCTGCTAAATGTGCTCACCCTGTGGGGACGAGATCAAGAAACATGTTGATTCTGACGCAGCTTGGCGGGGAAGTCAAAACAGGCAGCTTGGAAAGTAAATCCCGGATGCGGCACCATCTGGGTCATGCCTTGCATGTTGCATGCTTGTCGGGCTACGTCTGCAAACGGCTTCGCGAAGGACATGAGCCCATGTGCGGACAGCGATGCAACCCCTCCCCCCGTTTAGGGTTCATTTTGAACGCGTGGCAGGCAAACCCGTGTCCCATAGTATTGGACCCGCTGGTCTCGCCAGACTATCACAACGAGAACTGGGTGTAAAAAGGGGGGCCTGTACAAATACACAAATGAATATACAAATCAGCCAACAAGCAACAATCAACAAACACTGAATGAATCAGTAAATTGATTTTACAACACATAAATAAATGAATCAAATGAATTAACCCACGCCAGCCGCCAACCCCCTTTGGGTTTCCTTTGAAACCACATGCGGCATTTTGTGTTGCACCCAAACACCCCGATTGGCTTTCCGTCGGCTGCTGTGCCCTCTCGCCGGAAGGGGGTATTTTGTGCATGATCTTTCACGCCGCTTGAGAGGCAGTTTCAGTTCACGTGGCTGTCGTTTTTGCGTGCGGAAATGCCGCTTCAACAAAGATCAAGACAAAAGTACAAGCACCCCAGGCAATCAGTTGTGCTGCTTGCTTCCATGGATCCCAGCCTTCCCACAATCCATGCAAACGTCTAGGTAGATTAGGAAGCCGCTTGTTTTTAACACCAAACTCATGCTTGCGTGCGCTCAGTAATTACGGAGGTTGGTACTAGTAGGAAAGCGTCCAGGCATTCAATGCAAGAATCAAAGGGTCAGTCCCAGACGCCCTACTAAGAACAGGTACACACAACTACCAGAAGGTACGAGGCAACAAAAAGGTCTTTGGGTTTCCCTTTCAACCCTCGGTTGCTTTCTGCTCCCTGCTATATAAAGGTTTAACTTTTAGCGGTTTAATAGAAAACCATTTTGTTGGCAAAAGTTAAAAGTCCTAACATCAAAGCAAAATGCACCAAAGTACCCTCAAACAAAACAGGGTACCCTGAAAAAAAGACAGCACCAAGCTCCCGCCTGCACTGAAGCAATATGGCGGCCGAAGCCTGGCCAAGGCGTCTCGCGCCGAACTGGTGGCTTTGGGTGTTGAACACCCAGGTTGGTAGAAAAAGGAGCGGCCCTTCGTTGACCATTTGCGCGGGGGAAAGCATCAAAACTGGAAAAGGGCGCCAGCCCTTGGAACCGGAAGTCTGGAAGACATGGCACGATCTGCAGACTTGTTGCTTTCTGAAGGACTTGGAAACCCAACCACTCGGATTGAATGGCGCCCCCTTCTTGGCCCCAAGAAAGCTGGACATAAAATGAGAACTCGAACAAACCACAGAGTTGCCAAGACGGGCTCACAAAACAGGGTCCATGGACCAAAGCGGTGACTTGGGCAGGAGGAGGGCCTCAGCATGTCGTGGAACAATGGAGGTCTCGTCTCCTCTGTTGGCGAAACTTTGGATCAACAGGGGAGCTGGAGTTTGCTCCATGCGAGAAGGCTGCGATTGGCACGCAGCTCCCTTTGGTGAACCAAGCGGTTTAGCTCCTGCCGATATGGGAAATCCGCATTGAGCCGTGAGTAAATGGTGGCCTTCTTTTTGGCATCCCTTTAAACGGTTGAACAGCTCAACCAAATCTGAGTCCAACAAATGGATCAGCAGTGGCCACATTACCAACGGCAAAGCGAGCTTAGAAGACAAGATAGTTACGCTACGTATGCATAACCCCCAACCCCAAAACCCCACCTAATTTTCCTGGTACCCACATAGGACGATGCAACGCTGAGGCCAACCGTGACAGTCGTCGCATTTCACATTTCCTCACCCGTCATGCTTGGTTTGCTGGGCTGTTCAGTGTTCCTTGCAATCCCGCCTTGCAAAGAAAATGAAAACCAAAACGTAGCACTTACAATAGCCAAGAAACGGCAACAGGACTATTTCTTCCTGGATGGCGTCTGTGGGGTGTTGTCCGATTTCGATGCCTTGAATGATAGACTGAAACCATTCTGAATGTGGAACAACAGCATGTCGCTCTTTTAGGAAATCAAGCCCTTTCTTGAGTTGTTGTTTCCACGCACTGTGCCGCCCCCCCCCCCACAGACGAACACCTCCAGCGAAACGTCTTCGAGCCCAGCCCTTTTGTTTGACACATTCTTTCTAGAGCTGGGCAAGAGATTGCCCGCAATCTGACGAGTTGTGTCGGCCATCTGGAAACGCATCCAAGTAAGGAACTCCTCTGCTGATTGATGTTCTCTTGCTTCCTGCTCAACCAACAGACATCAGGGGCGTAAAATCCAGCAGGATCATTCAGGGACCCTACTGGTGACAAGCATGATCATCCAAATTCGTCGGGGTGTCTGAAAGAAAACAAACGCCAAACCCCTTGAAAAGGTGCCAAGGGACCTCTCTGCATCCCGTTTGTTGCAAAGGTCCCCTCCTCTTTTTGCCACAAGCAGGCCCATTAGCCCAAAGTGGTCCCTTTCTGGACAGCATGGCCATTTGTTTTGACTCAAGCCAAGTTGACAGCAAGACGTGCTGACCTGCGGCAAGAAATAGTTTTACCTTCTGGAGCCAACCTTGACGTATGGTTTCCGAAACGTGTTGGAATCGGAAGGTCAGTTCGTTTTGTGTAAGCAGGCGATTGAGTAGCGATTTAATCTTGATTTGTTTGTTTTATCAAATGTTTGTAAACGATCATATAGCCCTGACTATGACCATTTACACCTACAAAGCCTGGGAGTAGATCCCGTGGCTAAGCTAGCCAACATAGCCAACAGGGTTGGACATGCGCTCTTCTGTGATACACCTTCCCAAAGACTAATTCTGCACTTAGAGGGGAAGTGAGAACCAACCTTAAAATTGCAAATGGGGGAGCAAGATGGAACCCCTGTATTTACTGCAAGTTGCCGGGTTTTACGGCTGTGGCTGGTTCAACTAAATTACCCTGTAACAGTAACAATTATGGAAGCTGATGACCCACGGTTGGGGAGACTATGCTCCTTTGGGGAAGCCTGTCCACTTCCATGATTAGTCACATTCCGACCAGCGCAGCCTCTTCCAGGATACCCTTCCAAGGACTGTCGGCTCCAGGGAAAGAGCAAGGGTCCCTACAATTCTCTAGATTTCATTCAACATCAACCCCCAAAAGCAAACTCACTACATAAGTTGGCCCGAACGATGAGGTTTCAAGCCGCCCAAACGGGACATCCAGGGAACCCTGAGATACTTGGCGCCGTTCGCATCGCCCTGCCGTTCGTATCGCCCAAAGAGCCGGCACGCCTCGACGCTGTCGCCCTCGGCCAGGGCTGCAATCTGCTGCCGCAGCTGTCTGGCCTCCGAATGGATGACTTCATCTAAAGAATGCTCTGGGTGTCCTCACTTCCTGAGTGGACTGGCCACCAGGGGTCCTGATATATGGGTGTGGCGCGTTGACGCGACCCCCCCAAAATGGGTGGTTTTCCTTGAGTGGCTTGGCCAAAGAAAGTCAACTTGTCAGTTGCCACTAACAATTAAACTTGCCTTCCCAAAAAGAACTCAGAAGTGAGTGCTTCGATATTTCCACCCTAAACATTGGCACAAGAAGTGGATGTTATCCGGGGGATTCCCACTAGAATGTCGTCCCAGGGCTTGAAAGTCCTGGCTCAACTACCTTTCCAGACTAATTGGTAAAACATGCCCCCCCCCCCAAAAAAAAAAAAATATAAAAAATCTGCACACCAAAAACATGGGTGGCGCTAACTGCTAACTTCCTACAAACAGATCGGCGGCTGGCTTCATGGAGTCCACAAAGGCCTAGTAGATGGGATCCGCGTTCCCGCATTTGCAGCTGTTGTAAAACCTGTTCACCTGGCCCCCAACAAAGGAAGCTCCCGTCTCACTGGCAGCCAAAACGTGATCATTCAAATCAAAAGGGCGAAAAAGGTTGCCCCAGCAGTGCCAAAAAATGAAAAAAGGGACACCAGACAACCTCCTCTCTTCTTTTTTGGGGGTCCAACCTTTTCAAAACGTACACCCATGTACACCCCAGATCGCTGGCTTTCCCAAACCTGCAGCCCCCGATGCTTTTGGGTTCCCTTTTCGGCTGGGCCCAAGCTGCTTCACGCCCCCCGCCTGCGTCAGGCCTCCGGCACTCAGCGGGTGGTCAACCTGACGGGGTGGGAGGACCCTCCCTTTCAGCCTGGGGGGCGGGGCCTCCCTTCCCTTTCATCCGGAACCTCTTTGAGGGGCGGCGGGTTACAAGCTTCTACACCACAACGGAGTGGATTGTGGATTCATACGGTTTTGGGGCCCATTGGTCGGTTTGTTCAGCCCCTCAACAAGACCCAGCAACGCACTGCCTTCCGTTTGAACTCAAGCATGCCCCTGCCAGCCGGCTCCATCGGGGTTGTTGGCAAGGACTCAGGCAAACCCCCCAAAAGCCCCCGACCCGGAAAGACTCAAAGCCTTAAGAAGGTCAAATAAGGCCTTCACGATTGGAAGATGGTGGGGTCCCCATGGGCCATCCTGGTTCAGCTTGCCCGCGTGGTTCAGGGCGTTGCCCACGTGCTTCAAGCCGCCGCGCCTTGGCCCGGGAAAAGGGGGGGGGGGCTGATGGGAGCAAATTCGCAGCGAAACTGGTCCGCGTACCTGGGAGGTTTGAAACCCAAGGGCCTGGTCCAGAACCGGGTTCAATTCCTAGATTGGACAGCAACAGCGGGTGTGTCTGTTTAGGAGACTCTTTTCGTTGTTTTCAGGGGAAACCAAAAGGAAAACCACCTCTCTTGATTTTTTTTGGGGCGGTTGGACATTTGAGCCAACTGGGAGTTCTCAAACATATTTGCAAGCAAAGCGCATCAATTCATCGGTTGCTACGCCTTGGATCCCTTGTCAGGTCGCCGCAAATTACAGTCACTCCTTCGTGGCAGGACAACGCACGTCACACAAACACACACGTGCACACTCATGCCAACGCAAGGCACATATGTAACCCACGTGCCAAGGAGACCAATACCATCTTTTAGGACCACCTCTGACTGCAAACCAAATGTAAAAGCCTGGGAGACGTCTCCAAATGAGGGAACCACACATGTCTTCCTTTGGCAAAGTCAACCCTACAAGGAAACCAACCAAGAAGCCCGTGAACCCTGGCAGAAATGGGGGCTGATCGTTTTCAGTGGCATGTAAACTGACTCCCTGAGTGGATTGGCCAGAAAACGTCCGGACTTTCCTTTTGCCACTACCATGGGCTTCCAGACAGTTGATTTATTGGGTGACTGATTGGTTGATTGAACGCATCCAGGAGCGAGCAAGTCCTTCGGCGCCAAATCGCCGGGGCTCCGGGCACTCCTTGCCAGAAGCCCCCAGAGCTTTGCTTTCCGGGGTCCTGCGCCCGCTCCAAGGCTCCAAATCGGGTTCTCCACCCCCCCCCGGCCCGGCTCGATTTTGAGCCGTCAGCCCCAAGGAGTTGAATCGCGATCGGCCCATCAGTGGGTCCGAGGTTCCTCCAAGTTCACGTTGAAAGCATGGACGGGCACGCTAGGTTTGGGTGCGTGTCTTCTTTGAAGGTGCCCAAAAAAGACAACTACCATTTTGGGGCTCCTCTACTTGGGCACGCATACCTATATCACCCTTCAGAGAGTCCGGAAGGCCTGAGGAACATCGGCCGACAAAGGGGGACATGGGCCCTTAATTGCCGAGCAGCGAGTGGTTGGTCCGGGCGAAAAAGATGTGAGAACCTATGTCGGGGTACACTATTAATAATTCTTTAGGCCAATATATTGCAGTCATTTCTCCCATGCTTGCAGTGGACTGTGTGGCAAACAATGCTCTTGCAACAAAAGCCTTGAACAAAGGTGCCGCTTTTGCGCGGGCTAAGCGCTCTTGCGTTTGGCAGTGCAGAGGGCCGCCCAAGGTGTGCCCTTTTGGCATGGCTTTACGGCAAACAAAAGGAAATCAGCCATTTTGGGGTCCCCCCCTTTTGACACAATCCCATCTTGCTTACATTTGCTTTCCATCTGAATTGGCCCTTGAAGATGCACCCCTAGTTGCAATCCGCTTGATTTGCCGAGCCGGAAGGACAAGTCGTGTTTAAAGCCCGGAGGTTGCAAGGGAGTTGTTCTCCAGAATATGTTCAGCTAGGGCTGGGGGCGAAGTGATCCTATCATTAATGATTCAGGAGCTTCATCCCACAAAGCAACAACAACTCTTGCCGACACCGCGCATGGAGAACATGTCATATGATCATTGGCAAAAATGGGAAAATGACCATGTGCTTCTCCTTTCTCAGGGCATATGCCAGATTCGGGCTATTCAGCAACAAGCAAATTGACCGACCTTGCCTCTCCAAGGTCGAGCAGGTCGGAGTTGGAAGGCCTCGGCATACCACTGATCTGGGCGATTAAGCATAATTGTCGAATCGGAATAAAGGAATCCCGGAGATTTTGATCATGGATAAGCTTGTTTTACCCCTCATACACGGCTTACATGCATTTAGTCTCGGGAAATGAGACAGCTTGAGGCACAAACATGAGTTCAACTATGTTTTTCATGGCTGCACGTATTTAGCTTTTACCGGCTTGCTCCAGTCTCTGACAAGTACGTCTGAATTCAGCACGCGGCTCGGGCTCCCAACTTCTATCTAAGCTCATGAGCAACTTAGACCAGGGGGAGCTTTTTCATCGGGGAAACCTGAATGACGATGTCCAAACAAAGGTTTAAACATGCTCAATGGGCGGCTTTTACAACCCTGATTAGCTGCGCCCAATTTTGGCTGGCAAATGGCTGATGAGACAAATGCATGCATACTGTTCCCATTCCGCATTGCGCAAAACCCTCCTCAACCGAAAAGGGCTCATTATTGAGGTTTGGCATCACGGGTGTCAGTGAACGTTCTACTAGCCCGTTCACTGCACTCTAAAGTATGGCGAGCCGGAAACCACTCTGGAATGTTGGCACATTGCTCGGTTCAGCCAGTCACAAGTCCTGGCTTTCTGGCTGTAATACGGACATTGAGCGTAAGAACGGCTCTCAAGGGGGCTCCGAAGAGCTTCGGCTGCGCTTCGTTCCCTGGCGATTTCGGGGCCTTCGCCTTCCACGCGATAAAGCGATTCGATGCATTCGATCCGAGCAAAACAAATTTGCCAGGGCTGCGGATAGCCCGCAGGGTTGCCTTCACGACCCACCATGGACCTGAGCGGAAAATTGCAAAAAGCGGGGTGCTGAAAGGATGCCTGGGGTGCACCCTATTGGGATGTCCCTTGTGGAAAACCAGGGGTTTTACATTTGTTTACTCCTTCATTGAACTCCAAACACGGCAGGGTCCACCCAAACACCCAGAACATGTCTCTAAGCTGGCATCGGCAGATTTGGGTACTATAGGCATTCCTTAGGTTGAGGCTTGGTTGGTTTCCCATTTGCAACCATCAAATTAAATTGTGTCTTGGAGGTATGGCAGACTTGCTCCACAACCCGTCAGCGTTCCCAAAGGACAATTACAACTCGCGTTTGCTAAACTCCCCCTTTTAGGTGACTAAGGGGGTGGGATGTTTTGAAAAGGATTCCCATCCCCTTTTGACCCCCTTAGGAAATCAACAACCTTGTAAAATGTTCGAACAATTCCATGGGCACCATCCCCAAGCAACTGTGATTCATCTGGCAGGCTGGCATTGTTTCCAAATGAGTTCGCACCCGCGAAATAAATCGGCCTCGTTTCTCTTGGTTTCCCTTTGAAGCAACCTCAACAACCCAATGGTGGGGTGGTTGCACACGGCTCCAGGTCGAAGTTGCTGGCCAATGGGAAAGGGAACCGGGAACCGCAAGCAAAAGGCAAGCCCAAAGCTATCCATGCCCCATGGTTGAAATCTTGGAAGTCTTGCAGCAGGCAACGCAAGCCAAATGTCCGCTGGTAGGCCCAAACCCTGTAGTAGAATGAGGTCTACCCAAGGTCATGTAAAGAATCTAGAGGGCGGCTGCGCCAATTGCCCGGGTTTTGATTGTGTTTCACCTGAGCCCATGAGCCCAACGAATTGCCCGTTGCTCAGTCGTCGGCCGGAGCACGTTTCGCATGCCGCCCGGCCCTTTGGCGGAGGCTTGGCGTTTCTGCTCCTCGCAAGCCCAGCCGGCCGCTTGCGATTTACAAAAAGCCACTGGCTGCCTTCCTGAGCTTCTCAATTCCCTCGCGATGGGTGAAGGGTGGCAGTTCTGATTGGTTTCTACCCATTTGTCACTTCTGGTTCTGGGAACCCGACCCTTGCGGGGTATGGTCCAGGGGCCTGGGTTCCCATCAGGTCCGAAAGGTTTGCCTTCCCTATGCCCTCCCTTAGCTTGCAAGCTTCGTTTGATGCCGTTTGGATGGCTTCCCTCTTGACAGAGTCATCTGACAACTTCCAGGCTGGGTTGTCAAAACCGGCCCTTTTCGGGACCGGCCATTCACGAGGGCTGAGCGGAAAGTTCCATTTGAAATGGGTCTGGCTTGAACTACCTTGACACCGCGACATTTTCAGGTGGGCAACGTCTTCGAGCGCAGAAAAAACATGTCTCCCTGGCTCCGCTTCAGGGTACCACTCCGAGGATCACCCAGCCACGCCTCCTGTTTTCTCCCGAATTGATAGACCTAGCCTGTCATATCCTGTCGGATTGATGTGTACCCCAAGTGAAGGACCCCAGTCCAAAAAAAGGGTGGCATGCCCCTGTATCAACCAACCGTAGCTTGATGAACTACCTGTGCTGTGACAGCACCATGAGTTTGGATCTTAATCGCGGGGCATCAGTTGGGTCTGGGAGGACATCAAAATTCAGGGAGACTCATGTCTACCAGCCTGCGGTTGGCACCATAGTCATTTGGGAGGGTTGTGGCTTTGGGGTGGGACGAGAAACCCAGAGCTCCATTGGTCAAGTGGATCCCGAGGGCTGCCAAACGCATCGATCGCTCGCATTGCTCAGCTCCTGCTCCTCCCATTGGGCGCGCTTGTGCGCCTAAGATCGACGCCTCTGAATGCTAGGCGCTTTAAGGGGCACCCAACCGTGTCTTTTTGCGGCCTTTGAAGGGCTGCCCGAAAACGATGTCAACATGTTGTCAAAACCTCCCTCGCATGGAGCATTGCCAAAGCTACCTGGATGTGGTTCACTTGAGGAAACACCCCATGCCGTTTCCTTCATCACGTAAGCAACCTGAAGGCCCTCCTGAACCTTGAATCCTTAAAAACGCTAAGGGATCCCGTGGTTGGACCCTTTCGCAACCCCAATGTGACCAATTCGTCCAATGGGTTCGAGCAAATAATGGGTTCCGAAATCGGAAGCTGCAACATGGTCCTCTAGCGCAAGCGGTTGGATGCCGTTTATGAGAACCCGTTTAACACGTCCCCTGCCCTTGAGCAGCCCAAAAAAATCATTCTCTTGGCCCTTCTGCCCGGCTGTCCGGTGATCCAGGTAGCAAAAGGAAACCCTGGCGCGGATCATTTTGGAGGGAAGCCCCCAAAAAGGAAGAAGGCTTCTGCTGGACAACTGGGCTAGGGAACCTAGCGCACTTCCCAGCTGTCAATGTACATCACTCAAAAGGGTGAACACTCAACGACTGGGGTTGCAAACCAAGAATCACCATCTTTCCGGGTTCGCCCTCTACTCCAAATACCCGCCAAATGTTGTCCTGACCAAGAAAGAAGGCATTTACACCACTGCAAAACTTTTTTGTCTTCAACATATACCCGAAGACAAGAGGAGCGAAACTGTTGGGCATTTGTGCTTCAGACAAAAGGGCGTTTGGGGGGGGGGGGGGGGGCAACCCAGCGAACCCAAGGAAAAACCTGCCCCACCGCCCGAAAACCACTCTAAGCGCCTGGCACCAAGGAACTCGTTCCAGCTGGACCGCCCATGGCCTCAGGCTCCGGACTTTGTTGACCGTCTATACATGTGTATATATATATATAGAAATATACACAGAAAGAGCGGGTAGAGAAAACACACCATTTTGTAGGTTCCCCCCCATTTTTGGAGAGACACGCACTTGGACTCATGTGTAAAAAAATGAATGGAACTACGAGGACCTGCACTAATCGCTGCAATTCACCCACCTAAATCAAACAAATCTCCAATCAAGGGTCCTTCTTGGGTGAACTCGTTGCAGCTCCGAATCGGCGAGGCCACCGATTCAACACCCACTGATTGACAACATCCTGCACCAGTTGTTAGGTGGTTTATCCCGTCGACTCTGGGGGGTCATTGATCCCAGCTGGTCCAGCGACCCAAAATGACACCCAGGACCCCTTGACAGGTGACGCAGTGAAACACAGTCCATCTCCAACGGATTGTGGATCCAACATTCGATCAAATGAGTAGCTTCCTTTTGAAGCCTTGCCAAAGAGGATGCTGTGTACGGCGGGTGAGACCGGAATGCAAGACTGGTCCCAAGGAAAAAGCACGGCTTCGAGGTGAACAACACCTTAGACACTTGAGGCACAGGAAGGCTTTAGCAAATGCTCAGCGTCTGTGACGCAACCAGCAGCTAGAAGCCCGAGGTGGAAAATTTGAGAAGGAGCTAACACTGCACTAGGATGTTTGCATGCTGCCCAACTGGGCGGCAGCAAGCATGGACCTCCGCTGGCTCAGATGGGCTGGACCGTGAAGCATGGGTGTCCTCCAAACGAGATATTGCCCGTAAAAAAAATAGCATATTTCTGAGTGCACTTCCGCCATTCTGGATAGCTACCTCAACTTCAAGGATAGCCGCAGTTCCAACTCCTAAGCTCAAAATAGGGACAACATGTGGACATCAGGACCCCAATGAGCAGTAAAAACATGAAGTGGTGCCAAAGGGATCTCCGATTTCGGTTGAGTCATGCCCTTTACCTGCCCCCAATGGGGAAGCTTCCTGAGCCGTCATTCGCCATATCCTCCCTTGGATTTTGTCGCTTTGTGGCTGACCTGGTCAATGTTAAACCCTGAAGCTAGAAGTTAAGCGTGATCTTTGTGTTCAAGAGCAACATTGCAAGATGTTGCGAGAGGTTGACCCAGATCCTATGTTTGCCAAGGGCCCCACAAAGGTACAAACAAATCCGGCGAAAGGGTCCTACACACTTGTTGGCCCATTTCCAGTCATACTGCGGATGGACAAATCCTGCACCAGTTGGGATGGAAAAAAGCCTTATGAATACGGGAGACAGTCTCCTACCAACTAAAGACTACAAGGGGCAGCCACCTACAGACGGCCTTTCGAATTAATCATAGGGCTTAATCCATCTTCAACTGGTGCGGGTTTGCCCATCCACGGCGGATGAGTGACCTAAAGCTTTTCCGGCGCCCATTGTTTGAGCACTGGGCGAATCAGAACGATGCTCTTGGTCCTGGCGCAGCTTGTTTTTGCATTAGGCCAGAATGCTGACAAATGGGTGTGGCCATGAACTTATGTTGGAAAGGGAAACCGAGGCAAGACTCAAACCAACCAGGGATATGCACACACACACATATATATATATATATATATGTGTGTGTATATATATATATATGTATATATGCATCGGGGACCCTAAACCGGCTTCAATTCATGGGTGCAAGTGCCCTTAAGTAAGTGCTTTTCCATTGGTCACCTTCAAAACAAACAAAAAAGTTCCGCGATTTGCGGTCGTCCCCACCTTCCTTGTCACCAGCCATTTGAACCAAATATGACCTTGCCCCCTTTTGGTGGAAAGGAACTGGGGTTACAACCCACAAACCACTGATGGAAAGCGCCACTTGAGGGGCACCTGAAATTACTCCAAACTAAGTGCCCATACAGCGATCTCGAACGACAAATCCCTCATATTCCCTCATGGGGCCCGAGCTCATCCCCCCACCCCCTCTTCCTTGCGTTCCTCAAAATAAGGCCTTACTCATGTCTAAGGCCCTGTTGGAGGCGGTTGTTTGAGGAAACTGGGGGTTGGGGGGGGGGAGGGCAGGTTGAAATCCCATAGCTATTTGTCCTTTGCCGTTGCAATCAGCACTCGGGCGCTTGCAAAGCTCTAAACTGGGAAGTCTCAAACTCGGGATGCCGGCATTGTTGGCTAAATGTCATAAACCCCTCTAAGCTCCAAACAACATATCAATTGAAGTGCAATGACTGGGAGCCGCCAAGTTCTTGGTTGGGTTGCTACATGTTGCTACTCTTTTGATTCGCCGAGAAACCAGAAACGCCCCTTGGTGGACGCACCGCCTTTCATCACATCCTACTTCGGCTTGAAAGCCTCATGTACCACCATTTTGGTGGCTGCTTTATTCTGACACAACCCAGCATTTGGGTCAACGTAGGGGTTTAGGGGTGGCTGGTTGCAAGGGAGGAGCAAGCGGGTTGCAAGGGAGGAGCAAGGAAACCCAAACTGTATGTGTTCATGTCGTGTCATTCAAACACACAAACAAACGAACAAAAAGGAAAGGGTAGAGCGGTGGGGAACCATGGTCGGTACCTAGTACCCAGTTACTTAGTGACCTCAGAAAAAGAATCGGAACTGGTTTTGCGATCTGCGTGCGATCCATCGGATCTTGTGGCTAAATACATGGTCATCCATTTCCTCCGAGCGCAAACGCGATCCGTCCCATAAACCAGTGGTAGTGGGGAAGGGAACACGCGACACGCGATGTGGCACTGGAGGAACGGCCGGCTCCTGCAGGCTGGCTCCGAGGTTGGCGTGAGCTGTCCATCTTCCGAGCGCGCTTCGGAGCCTGAGCTTAGCTTCGGCTCCCGAAGGCACAAGGGCCTTTGGCTGCAAAGGCTTAGATGCCCCCCGCCCCCAAGTGGTGGGAATAAGGAAACTTGTCATGTTTCCTTTTGCTTTTGGGGAAAGCGTATGTTTTCTGAAGAAAGCCAAGGGTTCAAGAACCAAGCAAACATTTTACAGGAAGGTTTAAGGTTCCAAAGTCAATCTACCACGACACGTGGAGCATCAACTTTGAAAGATGGACTTACAAGAGGGGTCTGACACAAATTCCAGCACCTGAAATGAGAAATAGACCCTTTAGTAAGGACCTACATCGCACTTTCGCTCTTTTTTCGCTGGTTTTATTGGCGGATGCCATGGGAGTCCCTTGCACCCGCGAGGAACCCTTCTGCCCCCACCGGTCCCTCCCACAACCCAGGGTTGACCCTCGCCAGTCCCAAATTTGGAGGCAAAGAAGGGCCCACGTAACTCAGAAGCCAGCGATGGGGGTGTCTACTCAAGTAACGTGAGCAACCCAGTGTGCAAATGGTGGGTTCCATGCACGGGATGTGCCGAACCGCAGCGAGGATTCCAGATTGCCACAGCCCGTGCAGGAAACTCATGATGATTTTGTGAAGGACATACGGACAGACAGACAGACAGACAGACAGACAGACAGACAGACAGACAGACAGACACAGACAGCCATCCAGCCAGCCAGCCAGCCAGCCAGCAAGCAAACAGACAGGCAGGCACGCAAGCAAGCAGGCAGAGAGACAAAGAGGCAGGAGGCAGAGAGACAGAGAGTCAGAGGGACCGAGGGACCGAGGGACAGAAAGACGGAGAGAAAGAGAGAAAGAGAGGCAGAGACACAGAAAGACAGAGAGACTGGAAGGCAGACAGACTCAAGACAGAGAGACGGCGAGAGACAGGAGAGACAGAGAGACAAACGGAGAGACACAGACACAGACACACACACACACACACACACACACGAACAAACAAGCAAGCAAGCAAGCAAGCAAGCAAGCAAGCAAGCAATCAAGCAAGCAAGCAAGCAAACAAACACACAAACAAGCAAGCAAACACACACACACACACAAACATACAGACACGCAAGCACAAAGACAAAGAGGCACAGACAAACACAGACACAAAGAAAAGCAGAGACACACAGACACAGACACAAAGAAATACAGAGACACAGAGACACAGACACAGAGAGACACAGAGACACAAACACAGAGAAATACAGAGACACAGAGACACAGACACAGAGACACACAGAGAGACACAGAGAGACAAGGAGAGACAAGGAGAGACACAGAGAGACACAGAGAGACACAGAGAGACACAGAGAGACACAGAGAGACACAGAGAGACACAGAGAGACACAGAGAGACACAGAGAGACACAGAGAGACACAGAGAGACAGAGAGACACAGAGAGACACAGAGAGACACAGAGAGACAAAGAGAGACACAGAGAGACACAGAGAGACACAGAGAGACACAGAGAGACACAGAGAGACACAGAGCGACACAGAGCGACAGACAGACACACACACACACACAGACACAGACACAGACACAGACACAGACACAGACACACACACACACACACACCTACACACACACCTACACACACACAAACACAAACATAAACACAAACACAAACACACACACACACACAAACACAGACACACACATACACACATACACACAAACACAGACACAAACACAGACACACACACAAACACAAACACAAACACAAACACACACACACACAAACACAAACAAACACAAACACAAACACAAACACCAATACAAACACACACACACACACGCAAACACAAACACAAACACAAATACAAACACACAATCACACAATCACACAAACACACAAAGACACAAAGACACAAACACACAAACACACAATCACACAAACACACAAAGACACAAACACACAAACACACAATCACACAAACACACAAAGACACAAAGACACAAACACACAAACACACAATCACACAACCACACAAAAGACACAAAGACACAAAGACACAAACACACAATCACACAAACACAAAAACACACAATCACACAAACACACAAAGACACAAAGACACAAAGACACAAACACAAACACAAACACACACACACACACACACCAGCACGCAAAGAGACCCAAACAAAGACATAAACAACTGCCGAACCACTGACACAGACAAACCCAGACAAACCAACTAGCGAAGGCACGCAAACACACCCACACGCGAGCGCACGCACGCACGCACGCACGCAAGCACGCAAGCACAAGTGCATGCACGCACACGCACCCACACACACAGAGAGAAATCACCTACCCCATTTCTACCATTCTCAAGTTTGCTTGCTGGAAGGTCTGCATCCCAAGCGTCGGAGGTCGTAAGGCGCCGAGGGTGAAGAAGCGGATGGAGGCGACAAGGATGACCTGCGGAGCATCATGTTTTCCCTTGGTCTTCAAGCATTTCTCGGCTGCCTTTCCGCCTTCTCTCAAACACATGGGGCCATCCTGAATGGAAGAAACCTGAAATGTGCCTCTGCTTCCCCCCACCCCCCACCCACCGGTCCATATTCAGTGAGCCTTGCAATGTGAAATCATGTCAACAGTTATCAATATAAATCCCTGGCATTGTTGAAATGACTTTGTCAGTCCCAGGCATCGACAATGACAACGCAACACTTTATATGTGCGTGCATCTAAGCCTCAAGCAGGGCTCCCCATATATGCTTCCTTCATCATCACGCCACAAGGAAGCTCGCTCAAAAATTGAATGCTGCTTCAAGCCACCAAACAAATTATGGGAAACCCTTGTCCCTGTGGCCACCCTTAAAACCAAACATGAGTTCCCTGCGTGACAGTCCCAAGTACAGAACTAAAAGGGTGAGCTTGTGTTATATCTTTGTGAGTTGCACGGATTCTGCACTCTAGTGGCTTCTGGGCAACACCTCTTGGTAAGTTCACCGTTGAGCAAACCCATGGCCATGGCTATTCCAATCAAGTCTCAGAAAGCTAAAGCCCTCAAGGGAAACCTTGTGGACTCCCTCCAAAATGAGCGGGGACTACCTGAATTCGGTCTCAGAGTCGTTCCATGAATTTCGGAGGTTTTGCAAGGCTTCCGAATCAAAGGGGTGCGGTGCTGCAGGGTGAGGGGAAAACTGGTTGTGGGAAAAGGAACCCTTTCCTTGAAAACGCTGAGGCATGACTACTATTTTTTACTTCAAGAAGTTCTGTTGGTACAGCAGAAAAAGTGGCCCTAAACCCCACCCGCAATCTCCAAAACCATAATCTCCAAAGCCATAACATGAGATGCATATGTGGTTGTGGAAACAAAGCAGCGAGCCGCCCCCCCGCCCTAGACGACCAGTGATCTTCACGGAATCTCTGGTGAGTCACGCTAAGGCAGCGGCAGGATATCCAGCACGTCGTCAGCCATCCCGGAATCCCGCAACCGCCATTTGCTCAAGATAAAAATCTCGGCACGTACTGTATATGGAAGGGCGATGGATGTAGCGTTTTGCTTCCCAGGTCAAACAGAGTCCCAGGTCCAAAAGTCAAATGTATGATATGGAAACAAAAGGCAAATCAATATGCGATTTTATACAGAGTACTTTCAAAGTCCTCTAGTTCCCATGGTCTGTTGGGTCCCTCGCGCCCCAAGACAAGGCGGCGCACGACGTTCACCAGGGCCATTATTTCAGCCCCAAACAAATTTGGCCCACGGTGCTCTTTTAAAAGTTGACAAAAAGCAGTTGCCTGCGGGTTTCCTCAAGTCACAGGATTTGGAACCGATCAACTTTCGTGGCCTTTAAGCACATCGAAACGGATGGGATCCCAAGCCAATATTCCATGATCACTGCAAAGGAACATGTCGAAATCCCAGACTTTCCGCCGAGCTTCAAAGGAGTCTCGCTGTTCAACCCCATCCAGTCTCCAGATGTGAAAGATCACAATTCTCGCTTGCCCAAAGGGGCTGGAAGTAAAAGGTTCACCTTCTAGACCAAAAATTGGTGCCCCTGCGCAGCACCGCGCCGCTTTGGTTCAAAGCCCCGCGCAAAAAGAAGCGGGAGTGCTGCCGCAAGCCGCGAAGGTTGTGATCGACTACTGAAGACATCTGTTCCCAAAAGGCCCAACACCAAAGACAAGCCATGAGTGTAGGCAGCAAGCATGCCCTTTTCACGTTTCGCGCACTTAAGTCCATAGACTCGGACCCGTTCGAAGGAACAGCTTTTACTTCGAGCACTGCACAAACTGCTAAGAGCACAGCGAATATCTTGCAAAAGTTGCAGTTCTCTTGGATCGCCACATCGGGACAAACATCCAGGGTGCAAGCTGCTCACTTCAGATTTAGGGGTCTGAAGTCTGGTTCACTTCAGATTGGGTGAGCATAGCTCAATTCGAGCTAAGCCGTGATACGACCGCAGGCGCGGCCGGCCCAGCATTGGAGCCTAAGCAGGTGTTTACCTTAGGGATCTGGCTGCCCCTAGGTGCCAACACCACTGGCCCTGCGATGCTGCCAAACTCCGAGACCACCTTCGTGATGCTGCATGCTATCATATATACAAAACTGTATAAATGAGATAAATACATATAGTTCCTAAATTTGTACGGCGACCAACATGTGAGGTTGTCTTTCCTACCCTCTTCTCTGGACCAAATGGGGCCCATAGATTGTTGCGAGAACATCACTGAAGCCTTGTCAACCTCTGGTTGCTTTGGCCTCAGCCGCGATTGGTTGAGTCGATTAGGCCCAAAGGGAAGGTTTTGGATAGGCTTCTTACTGATCTCCGAACGATCAGACATACTCCCAACCAAAATCAGGAAAGCGCCTCCAGACAAGCACCTCCTGTTGTCGGACTCATTTGCAGGGGGTGCCCCATGCTCAGCGTGTTTCAAGCCATTGAAGTTGGGACCTTCCAAAAATCCGAAGATTCCATGCAAGGCATGCGGCGGTGTTGGTTCCAACCCATGAGGCTGATGTTCAGCCCATGGCATTACAAGACATCGACCTCCAGTGCTTGCTCCATGGGGGAATGTAGCTCTTAGAAATCAATCCCCTTGCGTCCAGCTTGAGGCAACCTCTCTTTTACAGCACCCATTCTAGCTTGACAAAGGCCCTTTGAACTTGCCATGGGTTGACCAAGAAAAAAGCACATTGCCTGGGTTGCCAATGGAAACAAACAATTACAGTTAACATGTGAAGCTGCTCGGGACCCATTTCAGACTCTATAAGACTATGCCAAGCTGATGTGGGTGACCTAGAATTCGCGAGCAAAACATGCGAATGCACTGGAAAGGCGGTTGCAAGCCCCAGTGAGCCCGCTGGTTTCAACTTGAGTCTCTCATCGGTCCTTTTGCGGCGCCATTTTGCACCAGCTGAGGGGATCGATTCCACCATAGCCCCTGACTCTAGCACAGTTGGCCCACCAAGTCGTCTTACAGCAGTCGCGCATTTGCACTGGAGGACTGCGATCTTGAAATAATTAAGTAGCTGATGTATTCGCTGTACATCAAGCAAATTGGAGGCTGCCATTCAACAAAACCAAACGGATCACTGTCAAATAACTGCTGTTTTCCAACGGTTGTGAAGACCACGACACGTCAGGCTATGACAGAAACGATGCACATTTTTTGTCGAATGCACACACTCTGTGGAAATCATCAAGCAACAAGGCAGTTATATAGCTATGGAATTGGTCTATGGCCAATGAGTCATATGAGTCATATGTGATTGTGTCTTCTCCTGACCCTTGGAAGCTTTCGTGAAAGTTCGAACTACCTTGTAAGTGGGCCATACTCATGGCTCAATGTCAACCAACCCCTGCTGGCCGAGTCACTCATCACCATGCTCGCAACCTACTTGGCTGGAACATCCAGGTTCATCAGTGCCCTCCGACCCAACAGTTCATCTTGTGACCTGCCATGGAAGAAAAACACTTTTTTCCAAAGTTTGTTGAATCCAAGCAAAGAGAAAACTAGACCAGCCTTTCGGCAGTTAGCTCGGGCTCTTGCCCGAAACTAAGGCAGCCCATACCTCGAGCTACAGTGGCGCCATTGAAATCCAGGGCTGGTGCCTCAAGTCCTCCCACACGTGGCCCGTTGCTCTTGTTGCTTCGTTACTTATGGCAAAGAAATACATTGCATGGAAGTGCATAGTGGCTCCCTGACAAAAGGATGGTGGTGGGGCGGCTGTGGCCTTCCAAGTTGAAAATCGGGCTTCTCCGCGACAAGCATTGCGAAGCAGCAAGGTCTCGCGAAATTCACCAACACTGGCGTTTTGTTAACAGAGATTCAACTAAACAATAAATACTCTTGACATCACTCTGGAGGTTGCTAGGGCTACTTGGCCACTTGCATCAGGACTGGCAAGTAGAGAATGACAACCAAGGGCACTTCGGACTATTTCGAGGACCGTGCTTTGCGTGGACCTTGCTGACCTTGACAGGGGGATCATCAACCTAATGTCACAATCTTCGGCAGAGTCTGACTCAGACTTAGACCTCCCTGCAAAAAGCGATCTGTTTGCTTGTTGGAAGGGAGGCATTGAAAACTAAAGTAGCAAGTCAAACAGGCAGCCATGATTTTTAGCTCAGCTAATCCGTTTCTGATTCCTCGCAGGTGGGGGTCCAGAGAGGCACCAGCCCTGAGGCCACATAGGCGCGTCCGAAGTGCCGCGAGCCCATGCCATCCAGGCCTCAAAAACCCGAACCACCCGCAAACTGCCACAAGAAACGGGGGGGAGGGAGATGGCCAGAAAGCCACTATACAACTAATTGTATAACACCATCTCATCCACACTTCCTGCATTGGCCCAAGACATCCAAACTTGCTTCTTTACCACGAAAAGCTGCGTTCCTCAAACGTAAGTCCAGCAACTCGGGGAGTGATGGATCACCCCGTGGAGCACTCGCAACAGGCACAATGCCATGGACGAAAAATGCATCCGGTGCGCAACAGGGGGGCATTTTGTTTCGTTTCACCGGGACATTACCGCCAAAATGATGATCCTTTGGTTTGGCGGAAAAGGTAGTGCGTTAATTGGCAAATTTCTATGTTTCGAGGAGCTCTTGTGAAACTCGCCTGTGAACCCTGCCGTGACTGCTCCTTTGGTGCCATTTGTCTCTGACTCTTGCAACGGGTCTGGCCAAAACAAGCTACTCATGGGCCCATGATGGACAGAACTGAACTCCAAAGGTTTGACTCTTCACTCATGGGCTGCAAGTTTCTGTTGCGCGGTGCATGCCGGAATGCCCAGGCCCCAGAAAGCCGTCAACCGTTGGGCTTTGCTTTCACTTCACCTGTTTGTCAAACTTCGCCAAACAGGCATCTAACTTGGCTCCTGTAACCATTGAGTTGGTGCAACCCGGCCAGTCAAGAAATCTCAAGGCGGATGCTGCAACTTTAGCCTGGCAAATCCCACAAATCAAGCCATACCGTCAACCAGAGAAAAAGGAGGAACAAAAAGAAGAAAAAAACGGCGTCACCGCAAAGGCTGACGCAATCAAAAGGCAGCGGGGCCAGTGCTTTCAACAAGGTCAGGGATCCTTGAACTAAACCAAGCCAGTACCCTGCAAATAATCCACATGGCTCGGTGTAGAGGACCTCGTGGAGAATGGGCTAGCAGCTTCATGGTATCCGGACCCAACGGACCAACAAACATCCGGGGCCGGTACTGAACACACACACACACAACACACACAACACACACACACAACACACACAACACACACAACACAAACAACGCACATGTGCCACATCGACACACACACACACACACCCGCACAGCGCATTCATCCGCAACGTGACGGCCAACATCAAGCCAACAACCACACAACTCATGAAACAATCAAGGGCCACCAAGCAAACAGAACCTTAGACGCACTCAAGCAACCCAAGACAGGGGGTTCCTCAAGCAAATTCGCCCAACAAACCCCTGTCAGGCCATGGCCATGGTTCCCAGAAGCCAATTTTCATATGGGTGTGTCTTGAATTTGGGGATCTCAAAACTGGTGGCTTCCCCTTCGGTTGCCCTTTAAACAAACCCCAGAAAGGCCACCGACAAAAACAGACCCCCAACCCTCGCCCATCCGTCGCACCTGCGCGCTTAGGCCAGGGAGGCCATGCTCCACCTGGGGCTCCTAAGGTTCGCACGACGTGGGCCACAGGGGAACAGGTGGTGTATGCGGCTATTTCGTTTGTGCATCTCATCCAACCACCGGGGTGGTTTCGGGGAAGGAGCCAAATTGGAGAAGCGAGCTGCGAAAGTGATATGTATTCCAAAGCTGTCGGCAAAAAGCTTGGCTCTTGGCAGCCTCACACAAACAGTTAACAGGCCTCCCCAAGCAACAAACGGACACAACATACTCAGGACAACATATGAGAATGTTGCAGCACAACACATTCAGAACACATCGTGTGTCTGTGGGCGTTGGTGTGTGTGTGTGGTGTCTGTGAGTGTGTGTGTGTGTGTGCGTGTG